TATATATATATACACACACACTACTTGGTAGCTCCTGTTTTGCCCATCGGTTTCTCTTGGTCTAAACTATATACATTATACAATGTGAAAATTGAAATATTATTATAAACCCTTAACTTTCAAACGTAATGTTATTTAAATGCATGAATTTGATCATCAATATTGAATATTAAAATCGCACATGGACGAAAATGCTTAACAAATCATTAAATAACTTCTTCAATTCAATTGAAAGTTGCGTGCAACCTTGACATTCACAATCAACGATTTTCAGTCATATAAGAATCTAAATTCATGAATTAAAATAGGTCGGAGAATTAGAGTATCTCCAATGATGATATAAAATAGAAATTTAAATATCAAAAGTGGTCGAAAACATCTCCAATAGAGAGATGCAAATTTGGTTTTTTGACAGAAAATGTAAAAATCATGAGAGGCAAAAAGTGGATTAGATCTTTCAATTGGAGCATTATTTAAATTTAGATTCATTGGGATGTAAATGAGAATAAAAAAGTAATTTTGGAGAATTTACACCCAATTTTACACAATCATTGGAAATGCTCTCGGTACATTATTTTTAAAGAATTAGAACTTAATAGCTGCACTATGCGAACGGTTAAAGAACACAATATTAATTTTCCTACAAACAATTTCGAAGGTTTGAGGCTCAACTTTTTCCTTATGCAAATACGTGTGTATATAAAGAATTGATCTCATGCTTTCAGTGGGTATGATAAAAATTTCTCACTACTAATGTGACAAATAGAACTTTAAGTATGATTCTGTTAATAACTGACTGCAGCAGAAAATTATAAGTAAAGTTCTTTTATCACGCCAATGAGAAATTTTTATTTAATCTATCGTGGACATGGACAGGAGATTAGATCTGTATATATCTATCTCTTCATGTATATATTATATATATACACTCTACCTTTGATGATTGGACTTTTTAGTGAAAGAAGAAAAATATGAAATCTTAAGTCAGTGCTCGTCTGTCTGTGTTCTTTTGTTTTACAGCTCGTGATGAGATAGAAAGTGAGCAAGGACAGAAAAAGAGAGAGAGATAGATACATAATTGTGATGATATGCCACGTGGAGGGTAGAGTAGTCTATAGCCTTGAAAAATGTCTTGCCTGTCTATGAGTTGTTGTTGAGACA